TCAAAGATATAAAATCAAATTGCGATTTTGTACTCACTCTTTTGTAGTCACTCGAATTTTCGAAGCGCATGTGTGAAGGGAATCGAAGGGAATTCTGATGAAATCCGGAAAGAGGCGGGCGACGACTACTTTCGGAAAACGCAAATCCTGCAAATCGACAAAACTTTCGGTTACACTCGATATATCTCAATGATTTGGTGATTTGAAGATTCCCCAGTGATTTTCCAATACGATCGTGTATCCCATCGCACACGCGGGACGAGATACGACCGTTTACATATACGATCCAGGTGCTCCTCTCCCGGAACCGCTCCTTTATTACGTGACAATATTGCGAACGTTTCTCGCGGGCAATAATGCGCCGTAAGATCCATGCCAGATGTCACCGGATAGCGGATAGCGGGTCATATACGAGACCGAGACCTCAAATATTAGCGGAGAATCCCGGACGTGGGAGCGTGTCTCTCCTACGCGGTAATATCGCGCTATCCGACATCCTTCTCCTCGCCCTCTTCCATCTCGCGGATATTCGGCGACGACACGTGCGCGAAACGGCTTATAAAACTTTTCACGAACATCGTCGTGCCGCGGCGTGAGATCACCCTAACAGCATTTATTTTTTTCACGATCACATTAGAGTACCCTAGTATGCGATATCGGCAAGATACGCGTTATATCTATGATCGAAACGTCGCAAAAGATATTTATAGAATACCAGGAAATATATATATATAATCGTGTCGAATAATAAAAAATCCGGAACTTTATATATATTTTTCTATGTATAAAAATACATACATAAAAAAGAGAGAGAGATTCTCTTTGTTTCGAAAATAATTATGATACCTTGTCATTAGAATGTATTAATGTAAAATTAGAGCTTATTATAAATATATAATGTATCTCACTCTCTTTCTCTCTTGAGCCAACTCTAAAATAAAAAATATATAAATCTCTAATAATAGGTTATTATATAATGTTGCATAAAATATTAATATTACAACACACACACACACAATAAAATAATTATAATAAAATAAATTATAAGACAAGAAAGAGAGAGTGAGACAGTAAGTTTTTTTTTATCGAGTTCTTAATTTATACAAATTTTTAACATTTTATATCGTATTTGCTTTTAATCTATCTATTTTTAAATGTACAAAAAGATTTACCTCTCAAAAACCACGAGGATCCAGAATCGAATCCAAATCTGCGAACTACAGATTAATCTCTTCTACATGAAACCACTCACACGCATCACTTTGACGACAACGGAGCTTGAAAATGCTGCTCGTGCTGCTATCTCATGGCAACTATGTACACTAATCCGCTCAAAGTATATATGTCTGAAATGATAAAATTTCTTTTAGGTATATTTTATGTCACCTATATTAACTTAATTCCGCAATTAAAGTTATCGTAAAAATTATCATTTTTATCGTATTATTCGTCTAATCTTATTGAAGGTATATATGTCAGTTATCGACTCGATTAATGCTAAATTTCACAATCAACTATATTATCAACAGATGATTTCTTTTATCGGATAAATATATAGTATTCTTCCTCTAGTAAACGCATATGCAATTTCTAAAATTTTAATATTCAATATTTTATTTTATCACACCTATATTTTTCTTATTTAAAGTATTAGAAATATTGAATTGTGAATTGGACACTTGTAGCATTTGAAATCAATTATAAGTAAAATATACTATAACAATAATACTAACAATAAATTATATATATTATATATAGTACCTATATTTAATTATACACATATGTGCAATCGCAGTATTGCTCGGTATCTTCTTAAAAAGCCTGTAAAATGGCGATCCGTTGTGACTGGACCATGGCTCAGACATATAGTGATCTTAATGTATTTATTTTTCTTTTCTTTTACACGAATTTTGTATATACATGTGAATTGAATTTCTCGAGACAATTACAGGTGTATCCAGTTTCCCCGATATCATGATCACTTTTTCAATCGAATAAAAGGAAGAATGGTGTTTTCTGTGATGATGTGCGTATGATAAAATTATGATCTCGGAACGTCAATTACTCGCAGTACAGCCTACTTCTAAGCAATTTCATCACATTGTCAATTCCTGAAATAAGAGGAAAAAAATATGATTCTCGTTTCTCTGTATGTTTATCGAACATAGTTTAGCAATAAAAAGTGTCAGTCTGCCAAGATATTCAACATAATTTTTATTCTGATAAAAATATGTAAGCGAAACCTTTGAAGCATAATCATCATATCATATAATTATGCAGAAATTTTAAAGCATGTGTGAATGCATTTTTTTAAACTTACCATAATAGCATTGACAATGTCATTTTGATTATTTTTAAGAGCTTTAATAGCTTTCCCTCGCGACACATTAGCTTGACACATAACCAAATCAACATCCTTCTCCTCTACACCTGTTTCATCCACTTCTTCTTCTGATTCTTCTTGTATAGGGGCAACAACCTTGTGTAACAAAATGAAGAAATAACATTATATAATATTACATACTCTCTCTCTCTCTCTCTCTCTCTCTCTGATTACTTTTTTCCAAATAAATATATCTTAATCATAATTAAACATATCTTACCGTAGTACTGCCACCAGCTTCAGTCGCTGGTATAACTGGTGGTTCCTTGAATTTCTCAGCCGCTGCAACCTGAGCTTGCTGGCTGAGATCTTCAATCTATGGAAAAAATTGGTTGCAATGTAAAACTTATATTACTTGAGATTAATACAAATACAAATAATCATTAAATATCAGTCTGCCAAGGTATTTGTCAACATTTATTTTCTGTTAATAATATGCGAAACCATTAAATCATCACAAAATAAATATATAATGTTTATTATTACATACGGCCAGTAAATTAAGTTTCTTACCTTGGCTTCACCAAATACTATATATGTGTCTGAAGCTGGATTCTTCAAAACATCTGGTTTGTTTATGACAAATAGAATATTCTTTGATTTGCGAATAGTCACTCTATTGACCTCTCTCTCTCTCTGATTACTTTTTTCCAAATAAATATATCTTAATCATAATTAAACATATCTTACCGTAGTACTGCCACCAGCTTCAGTCGCTGGTATAACTGGTGGTTCCTTGAATTTCTCAGCCGCTGCAACCTGAGCTTGCTGGCTGAGATCTTCAATCTATGGAAAAAATTGGTTGCAATGTAAAACTTATATTACTTGAGATTAATACAAATACAAATAATCATTAAATATCAGTCTGCCAAGGTATTTGTCAACATTTATTTTCTGTTAATAATATGCGAAACCATTAAATCATCACAAAATAAATATATAATGTTTATTATTACATACGGCCAGTAAATTAAGTTTCTTACCTTGGCTTCACCAAATACTATATATGTGTCTGAAGCTGGATTCTTCAAAACATCTGGTTTGTTTATGACAAATAGAATATTCTTTGATTTGCGAATAGTCACTCTATTGACTCCTTGTACCTATATACACAAGAAAAAAAGTAAAATTACTATACGTAAAAAAAAAGTATGTTTGTTAGAATATTGAATATTTCAATAATTGACATACCGGTTTCAATCCTAATTTACTCATAAGCTTCCTGGCCTTTTTTTCACCACGACTCTGCTTAGCCTTGGACACCATATCAATGGGAAGCCCAGTGACAGTTGTGCCGGGAAACCCGACAGTGCCAGGAGTGCCCGCATCTTCTAATTCTGGTATAGTATCGTCTGAATCTGAATCAGTCGCAGAGCCGATACCTACCAACTCTACCTTGGTAGGCTCTGAACTAGCCGCCTTGTCAAGTTCTGTTAACTCTGGCATCTTTACTGGCCTACAAATGGAAAAATAAATGTATCATTATATTATAGAAGAATTAGATCTTAGTATAGAATACACGAAGCCCTTAAGATCTATCCACGTGCCGATTTAATCATGTCCTATCTAAGATATGTCAAAGTGATTTTCGAATAAAGTCGTAAAGATATATTTATCCAAGATAAAAAATTACACATTCAACTTTTCATGGCAAAAAGTCGATCCCGCATAGACAGACGGTTTACGCGATGATCAGCGTGAATTTTTCGCACGAGTATTATTGTAGAAATGAATGTGGTAATTATGGCGTCCAACAAAGCTACCCGAAAAATAGTCCGCTAAGCACGATAGGAATTCTAATCATAACTTTTACACAACTATCATGATACGTTACAGCGTATTGATATCGACTATGGATGTTACGATGTCGCTTAAAATCGTAACCGAAACGATTCCGCCGGAAGATTCTACATCGTTGTGTATAGAAGGTAAAAATTCGCAAATATGGAGTTTGTCATCAAAACTTCGATGCAACTCACGTCGATATCAGTGACAATAAGGTGTATCACGCGATACTATTAGTGCGGATAACAAGATCAACGCCTGATCTCGCGATATATAAGCGTTTTTCGTAAGATTATACAGTGATGGCGAAAAAATCGTTAGATTTACCTCAAGCTATAGTCCGCCGACGAACGAGTAGTATTTTTATCGCATAAACTGAGGTCGATTTACACATCCGCTTATGCGAATACAGCCTTACATTTTTGAGAACGCCGTCAAAGGATCATTCTTATGGCTCTTACGCACTGCTGCGACACAGATTGGTTTTTCGCGCATGCGTGCGGCACATGTTAAAATAAGAGAATTAGTCAATATATTATTTATCTATTTTAATATTTCAAGAGTGTGGAACATAAGAAAATATGATTCTTATATAATTCTTAGAAATGCGACGAGGAACCAAACAAAACACTTTTTTAGTCCAACTAAGCACTCTTCAAATCGAGTATGACAAAAATCTGGTCCGGATATCCGGTTATTGACTAGTTAAAGCAACATGTCCGGCAGAGTAAAAAAAAAAACGAAACGTTAGCCAATCATTTTCTATTGTATTCTACAGTTAATAAAAGCGGGAAAATTAAACGGATTATAGGTAATAAATACATACATAGAGATTTCATAAAAATATTTTTATATGTGATAAGTTCAATTACAAAAATTGAGTATTGCGTCACGTCTCTACTTTATCAGATTCATTCTCATTTAATAATTCCTTAGATTCTGATTCTGGAGTGTCAGACGTTTCGCCTGGTCTTTCAACTACTTCAATATCCGAATCTATAAAACAAAAAAATACAAAGACTATATTTATATTAATTTATATTATGTTTATACTGATATTTATACACAGTATTCTTTTTGTTTATATTTTACTGGAAATAAAGTGAAATAAAATCATTTAAATACATATGTATAGAAATGTCATTAAGCCATTAGTAAAGATCGTACAAAGCTTAAACATAAATTTTAAATTTCTCAGACTAATAAGAGCTAGACGCAGAATGGTAGTGCATTTGGCTCTTATTAAATTGCAGAATTTAGAAATATCATACCTGTATCTGATTGTGTGGATGTTTCCAATTCAGAAAGTTTTATTGGCTCTTTATCTGCATTGTTAGAAGTGGCTTCGGATGTATTCCAAGTTACAGCACAGCTATCAAATTCTAATTTTGGGGCAAAAGGTTTCTGTTTCCTTGCTGGATTCCAAAAACCACAATAGCAACATCTGAATGCTGCAAAAATATATGTAATATTTTGATAATATATTATTAATCAAAATATATCTTAAGAGGGGAAATCTTTATTCTTTTGAAAAGAAGCATATTACTAACCAATATATTCAAACTCTTCTTTCAAAGCCATTCCATTATGTGAATTGCATTGCCGACAAACTAAAGCATAACGATTTGAAGGGCCATCACCTACTAAGTAATCCACTAAACGATCAATCATATTCCTTTCTTGTGGCAGCACAGGTCGTGGTAATGGTAATCCTAAGTTATAAATGCATTCGTTTATTATTTCTATATAATTAATGAATTTATACCCTAAAGCATATGAGTAAAATATAAGTTTTGTAAATATAATTACATATTGCATTTACTTACGAAAACCTATGGAGGCAGGATTAATTATTCTAGCATTAGACGGAAAAGGAGAATTTATTGACTGATTAATTGGTCTAACGTTAAGAGTCACTACACCAGGACTAGTTACACCAATTCGTGCATTATGAGTTGATATAGGCCTTCTTCTTAATTCTGAAGATCCAGACAAAGGAGATACAGCCTGTGTTGTAGGACGCCGAGGTGTTTCAGTCGGCGTTGATACTTTTGAAGTAAGCTAAAAACAGAATTATTAATTTCATATCTTTTATATATCACATATATAATCATACATAAATAGTATATATTTTTTTAGGGTGAAACTGTATCTTTTGCAATTGTCATCTTATTTTACTCTTACTTTTAGACATCTTATGCTTATATATACTCATGTATATAACAAGTTCTGACAAATACAAACCATTGGACTTAACTGTAAAGAAAGAAAATATAAAAGATAACGATATAAAATTATACTTATTTGCAAGAAAAAAATAATACAAAACAATATAAATTATATAGCTTATATTTTTTAACTTATTTTAAAAACTTTACTTATTATTTAGTATTATCACATTTGATTGAATTGATTATGATTGATCTCAAACATGATTTAGCTCATATTTCAAAAAATAATAACAATAATACGTAAGTCTACTCACAGGCGTCATGTTTAATTCATCTGGTGCAAACTTTAATAATATTTCTTTAGCTTTCTTATAAGTTTCTGTTTCAGTAACTTCATTTAATATTTTCTTTTTCTCTGACACAATCTCTGATAGTTTTTCCTGGTTGTTAGTAATTTTACAATTATAGTACCATGAAACAATTTTCTTTATTATAAATATTCTAAAAAAAGGAAAATGTGTGTTTGATTATGATTTTCTCTATGTAATCTATATTATATAAAAATATCTCATAATTAGATTTTACAACATAACTTACAAAATTGGGAAAGATAGTAATAGTGTTACAAAAAAGAGCTGATTGTATAATGTAGCTGGAAAGAAGCAGAAATAAGAGATAAATGCTATCATAATACAAAGAACAACTCCATAAATGATGATAGTTCCCACTATCTTCTTATGCCTCCGTTCCATAGTCTGTGCATACTGTTGGGTCTCTTTAATTTGCTATAAAAAAAAAAAAAAGAAACAATATTACACGATGCTATTTTATAATATTACATGTATACACAGCAACAGTAAGATAATACTTACTGCATCAAGATCTTCTAAAATTTCAATCGTTGTCTTCTTTTTCTGAAAATCATAAATATTATCTCAATGTATATTACAATTTATCATATATACTTATTGTATAAAAATATATACTTATCACTAAAAATATATTTTCATATAGGATGTTCAGCAAATCATGGTACAATTACCAAAGATATTTGTTTTTTGTTAAAGAAAATACATAAATATATAGAATAAATGTTTTTACAGCGCATTTTCAATAAAATATTAAACTGAACATATAATGTGTACAAATTAGAATTGATGATATGAAAATTGATAACTTGTGCAATTAATAGAGATATGAGTGGTAACCTATTTTAATAATTAATCTTATAATAATGTTATTATCTATAAAATTGCAATTTATATCTTTAAGTATCTTTGATAGATCTTTAGTTGCAATTAATATTTATAATTAAATTTAAATAATAAGAAATAAGAATAACAATCCAATATTTAGTAAATATGTTGCATAAATTTAAATCAACCGTTTTTTCAATTTATACATCATGCCATCCATAATTTCTTTTGTGAACGTATGAATCAGAGCAAAGTTCGCCATTGAATGTTAATGTCTAGTTTTCACAATCTCACTATAGAATACATTTAACAGTCAATTTTTGTTTAATCATGAAAAATGGCGGTAACCAAGAAATTACATCGTATGACGAAACATCAAGAACTAGAGATTTACAGGATTTTTAAACAAACAAAATATATTTTTTTATTTATATATAAACAAGCGATTACGTCGTTTTTCGTAGTCACGTTTAAATAAATTCTTATTTCGCGCCAAGTCTAACACAACCTTTACAACTTTGAGCCTGTCGTCATCCGGCATTAACGGATGCTATAAATAGCCACGAATGACATTTAAAAATATTACTCAGCGATCGTCTATCACGGTTACATCCGTAAAAAAATTAAACCTCGCGGGAAGTAAATAAGATGCCCTTGGGTGCCGTGTACATTTAACGAATTTATGATACTAACCTCAAAGGACACGAAATGTCAAGAGAGAACAACAATCCTTAGGACTCTCGGCTACGTACTCACCCGAAATTTCGGCAGGATTATCCCCATATTAAATGATGTTACGGCGAAGACGGGCGAAGGTATCCTCGAAGATCGTCGATCGCATACGCGTCGCCTCGCACCGAATCCGTCATAAAAAGGATCCCTCCAATATCGTTTTAAAATAGCCCTCGTCCTATATGCCTCGTCGAACCGGCTGTTCCGCTCGATTACGCTCCAAATTTAAATCCCGCCGCGCGTTTTATCCCGATATTTATAGCTCGGATCGCGCCTATGAAATCGAGCGTAGTCGCCCGATTAACAATCGCTATAATATTCGGCGCGAAGAAACAAGGTACGAGAAGCACGATACTCCGACCTATCTGTCACCTGCCTCTTCACGTTTGGAAGTCCTCGACGAACTACAGGCTCACAGACTATAGACGCATTCGATATTCGATCGCGCTCCGTTACGATTCGCGGATTCGTATGTACGTGCATGCACACATACGCACTACTACCACATACAGAGGCGAATGTTTTTAATTATGATAGTAGGTGTTAAAACGGGATAGAGATAGACATTCCTAAACGCTAGTATATTATCCTTTAAAATGTGAAGCTAATAAAAAGCGTACTTTAATAGATTCGTAAATTTCGTGTTCCTGATTTATTTAATTTATAGGTACAGCACGGACACGCACCAAGTGGCGATTTAACCGACAGTATCGAAAAGTGGATGTAATGGCGCTACAGTATTGGGTAAACGTCAACGTCCCATGAGAAACGACCGCATGGCCTGTCACATGTAGGTCATTGTCTCTCTCAGACTTTTCAAGGCTTCTCATTCCGACAGTAATTGAAAAAATTTATTTTTTATTGAACGCAACGTTATTTTGAAAGTGAAGATTTTTTACAAACATTCCAGTTATGAGTTTTTCTGTATATGATTCATGCGTAGCCTTGTGCAATAACGAACGCGTGATAATACATAATATTGACAATAGCACCGAAAATGTGATAGTCTTGCCCAATCTGGAAGCAAATAAGAAAATAGACGTGCACAACAATGTGGATATAGAGACTTATCATATGATAACATCTGTTACGTTTTCAAAGGATGGAAGATACTTTGCGGTGTGCACAAATCGCAAGCAATTGTGCTTGTACGAGACAAAGAACTCGAGGCTTTTGTCCAATCGGACGCTCGCCAGAGCCGCGAGCAAAGTGAAATTCTCTCCGTACAATGATATTGTAGTTGCTGATAAGGCTGGAGATGCTTACCTGTTCTCCACCAGTTCGCCAACAGAAACTGGAGTTTTGATCTTGGGCCACTTGTCAATGCTACTCGATGTACTTGTTACAGAGGATATGAAATATATCTTAACAACCGACAGAGATGAAAAGATCAGAGTCTCCATGTTCCCAAATTGCTACAACATTATGTCTTACTGTTTAGGCCACACAAAATTTGTGACAAATATCTCAGAATTACCTCACGAGAAGAGTATCTTAATATCGTGTGGAGGTGATGGAGTTTTTAAATTGTGGGATTATAGGCATGGAACTGAACTGATGTCTGTAAATTTTTGCGATAAAATACCAAAATGTGACATTGAGAAATTTAATCAAGATCTTCGAGACTATCATTATGACGAATCTGTAGATATATTGCCTGTTAAGCATTTGAGAGTATCTTATCTTAGTAAGATGGAATCTTTAGTTATAATAAGCTTTTATAGTAGTAAAGTACTATTAGTTTATAACATTACTAGTACCAATGAAACACAGTTCAAAGCAAATTATTTGGAATCCTTAATTATTGAAGATGAACCTATGGAATGTCTTTTAAACAAACAAGATTTATGGATATTAATAGATAGAGGATTACAAGTATACAAATTTGAAAACAATAGATTTGTAAGTCATAATGCTCTGAATGACACAATTAACCATCTTAATAAATCCTGGGAAACTCTAAAAAATACTATTGTTAAACAATATTTGTTCCCAATTTTATATAAAAGAAAATATGACAATATACAAGAATATTTAGAAAGGAAAAAAATTCGGCTTGCCAGCATAGAATAGATTATAATATCATCATTACAAATGTTATAAATACAATGTGTGTGTTTGATATTTCATAGAATGTACAAACATTGCAATGATTGAAACCAGAAATAAAGGTATATATTCTATATTAATAATTTTGTGTACTTGTGTTACTATTTGTATCATACAAAATTCATCAATATTAATATTAAGTAAACTTTTGCAGAAATAAAATTTTATCGGGAAAGGGAGAAATAATACAGCAAAGTAATAATGAATAATCCAACTTTGGATTGATATTGAAATTAAGACATCTAATGTCACTTTTGAGACATAAAATAGTAAATCAATTTGTATTGAATTACACAGGCTTATAATCTAGTTTAGATTCGAGTTTCTTATTGTCAGAAACCTTTCTGACTGCTTTCATAAAATCTTCTTGTATTACATACTCTCTTTCTAATCGTATCGCAAACAGCCCAGCCTCTGTACATACGTTTCTCAAGTCAGCGCCATTGAATCCATCCGACAGTTTGACCACTGCCTCATAATCTATATATTTATAAATAACAGATATTTATATTTTGAATATTGCAAAATATGTAAAATTGTAAAACTTGTAGCTGACAAATTTCTTACCGATTTCGCCGTGTTTGGCAATTGGTAAGGCATGTATCTTTAAAATCTCTAGACGAGCTTGTTCATTAGGTAATGGTATTTCAATTTTTCTATCCAATCTTCCTGGCCGTAATAACGCGGGATCTAAAGTATCAGGCCTATTTGTCGCCATTATCATTTTAACTTGACCTAAAGAATCAAACCCATCCATTTGATTCAACAATTCCATCAAAGTTCTCTGAATTTCTCGATCAGCACTTGTTCCTTCCGAAAATCTGCGGCCACCTATATGTATATAGAAACAAATATTAATATCCATCCATATAAAATTCTCTCTTAACTTGGATATCTTTTTGTTAATTGCAAGTCTTATATACCCACCAATGGCGTCAATTTCGTCCATAAATATAATACAAGGTTGATGATCACGAGCATAATTAAACATCTCTCTAATTAATCTAGCAGATTCTCCAATATATTTATCAACAATAGCACTTGAAACAACTTTCAAGAAATTTGCATCCAACTGACTGGCAACAGCTCTTGCTAATAATGTTTTTCCAGTACCAGGAGGACCATATAACAAGCATCCTTTGGGAGGAGTGATGCCGACTCTTTGGAAAAGCTCAGGATTTAATAACGGCAATTCAATAACCTCGCGCAGTTCGCGAATTTGTTCACTCAAGCCACCAATTGCAGAATATGTCACATCACCAGGATCTTCGTGAGACATGTTGTAAACTAACGGATCAACCTAGAGAAAACAGCAACACAACAAAAGAATAAATTTTCAAGTGAAAAAAAGGATTAATTTTTTTATTTAAGGATTAATTAGAAAATTTCTCTTTACCTCACGTGGTAAATAGCGCATGATTGTAAGAGTTGTCATGTCTAAAGCAACTCTAGTTCCAGACTTTAATTTGTTTTTATCCAACTGACGCCGACATCCAACAACGTAACGTGGACCATTTGTGGCTTTTACAATGACTAAAAATAGTTGTTCATTATCTTTCACTTCATATATTATAATTTGTATTTTATGTGCATATTTAGTATAAAATACATCTGTTGATAACATTAAACACAATTTTTTTTTTTATTGCTACTAAATATGAAGAAAATATTATTGCAATAAAGCTTAACATATTCATCGTTAGCATTAAATGTATAATCAAAATACAAATTCTTACTTAAAAATAAGTTGATTACTTACATTTTTCTTCTGTAAGTTGTTTTAATACTTCCCCAACAATCTACAAAATTGAAAACTCATGAAATAGAATAAAGGTAAAAATGAATTATTAAACGTTGTACCTTGATGAAAAAAAGGAAAAGATGACAATACCTGTCCAACACTTTGCAATGCCTTTAAATCATTTTCGGACTTGTCATATTGCTTTGTTAGATCTTTAAGGTGTTCTCTCACTGGAAAAATATAAAATATAATATATTTTTATAATCATATTTTTTTTATAAATTTGCTGTAAAATATACAATGCGATAAAGAAGTATTATATATTAATATTATGGCATCACAAAAAAAAAAAATATCTATAAAATCGAATATATAAAAAAGCTTCAATGACAGGAAAGAATATGAGGTTATAAGTTTCGAAGTTTCGAATTTGCAATAAATATATAAAAATAATTAGATAAAATTCATATCAACGAGAGTACTTACTTTCTTTGAGACGTGACTCGACTTCCTTATGTTCTAAAAGCTTTTTTCTATAATCTTGAAGAGCTTTTTCTCTCACAGAATCCATGGCGACCGACATCTTTACTTATTTTGCTGTCTAACTGTCATCGAAAAAGATGTCAAAGATGGTACACAGAATAGAGAGAGATTTCGTTGTGTCTTCCAAGGGGGCGTAAGTGCGCCGAATAAATTCACATGAATTATTCAAGATATGCAGTGGAGCTGACGATCTTCGATGGTGTATCGTCGATGGTGGACAGCGGAAATTTTCAGTCGTCGCGGTCAGCGAACGATCCGTCTATCGTTGCAACGTGTTGGATGACAGTTGGAACTGTCACATCATTGTAGAGCATTGTCGGATCGTTGCCGCGCGTAACAGAAAGATACCATCGCGCAACAATGGCAACGATGGGCAAGGGTTTTCGCGTCTACGAGAAGCTAGACTCCCCTAAGCCGCACTCGATCATACTCGAACAACGGAATCGCAAGGAGACGCTGCTCTTCGAATCGCAAGCGGTCGCGGTCCTTTGTAAGTAAAAATGCTGAGATGATCCTTTCGGATGCCCCGCTCCGTTCGTGCCATTCTGTACGCTTAGACTATCCTGCAGCAGCGTTTTTTAACAAAATACATTAATTAAAAATCAAAAATTCAATAATTACATTGATATATAATTTGTAGCTGCTGAAGAATACGAATTCCTCAAGCCGAAGTACACAAAATTGTTGGATGCGTATGGATGCCTGGGTGTTCTGCAGCTAAACGCAGGAGAGAATACACTGTTGTATCTTGTTCTGGTTACTGGATGCTTCTCTGTGGGAAAAATAGGAGAGTCGGAGGTCTTTCGAATAACACAATCGGGTTTTATACCACTGTTCTACAGTCAGGGGACAGAAGATCGTGTGTCCGAAGTCAGAAAGGTTCTGAATTCGGGAACATTTTACTTCTCCTGGTCTGCCGGACAGCAGGATTCACTGGATATCACCCTAAGTGCTCAAAGAAGATGCAAATCGACAACTACGGATAATAGATTCTTCTGGTTAGTACACATCATTTTTTTAAATTATTCTGTCAATTTCTTGATATAAAAATTTTTCATAATTTAAATGTGATTTTTATATTATTATTCAAAATTTTATATTATTATACAAAATAGAGACAAAAGAATAAAATTTAATCTAGTAAATTATTTACAGGAATCGAATGTTACATATTCATCTATTAAGATATGGTGTAGATACAAGTCAGTGGTTATTGAAAGCAATGTGTGGTAGTGTGGAGATTAGAACTGTCTATGTTGGACACAGACAAGCTCGGGCAGTGCTTATGTCCAGATTAAGTTGCGAACGTGCTGGCACTAGGTAAGATTGCTTTCCTTCATTTAATGAAAAAATATAGGATGATATATTTATCTTTTTAATTATTAATGTCTGGAAATATATCTATGATAAGCTATATCTATATATTTTGATAAGTTATATCTCGCGAAATAACATATGGCTAATACATAATCGCGCGCACATATTGCAAGTGATATAAAACAAGATTGCTAGAACATATGGCCTGATTAATATGACATTAAATACATTTCGTACTGGACTATTCGTTTGTTTCTATTAAAATTGTATAAAAATTATCATTTGTCTAGATTCAATGTTAGAGGAACTAATGACGATGGACATGTGGCGAATTTTGTGGAGACAGAGCAAGTAATCTACATAGACAACGAAGTAACGTCTTACGTTCAGACGAGGGGTTCGGTACCGCTGTTTTGGGAACAACCTGGTATACAAGTCGGTTCCCACAAAGTAAAAGTTTCACGCGGTTTCGAGACCTCCGCGCCCGCTTTCGATAGGCATTTAAAGATGATCAAGAAACGATACGGTCAGCAAGTAATCGTCAATCTCCTTGGCTCTAGTCTAATCGGCAGCAAGGAAGGGGAGGCAATGTTGAGTCAGTTGTTTCAAACCCATCACAATATGTCGGAGCACAAAGACGTGCCACACATTTTATTCGATTATCACCAAGAATGCCGCGGTGGAAACATGAAAAATCTTTCGAAGCTAAAGGCGAAGGTGGAAAAATACTTGGAATCGTTCTCCATGTTCTACGCGGCCGGTAATACTGTGATTCTCGAGCAAACCGGCACTATCAGGACCAACTGTCTGGATTGCTTGGATAGAACCAATTGCGTGCAAACGTTCTTCGCGCTCGAGATGCTGGGTAAACAGATGAGCCTGTTGAAACTGATGGAGAAACAACAGATGGTGTCGAGATTCGAAGAAGTGTTTCGCCAGATGTGGATTAACAACGGCAACGAGGTCAGCAAAATATACGCGGGCACTGGTGCCATCCAAGGCAGTTCTAAACTAATGGACGGCGCGAGATCGGCAGCTAGAACGATACAAAATAATTTACTAGATTCCAATAAGCAGGAAGCGATCGATATCTTATTATTAGGTTCGACATTAAACACAGAACTGGCTGATAGGGCACGTTTGTTATTACCTTCCAATATGTTACACGCTGCGCCAAATCTCTTACGAGAGATGTGCAAGCGCTATAACGAATATGTGGTTACAATGAATCTCAAGGTGAGCATCGGTACTTACAATGTTAATGGAGGGAAGCACTTTAGAAGTGTAGTTTACAAGGATGTATCTCTGTCTGATTGGTTATTCCTTGGATCGCGCAGATCATGTAAGTAATTGTCTTGCTGTGAATCATTGTGAAGTGCATAAGAAAGAACATGATATCGCAAAGATTCTTTTTTTGTAATTAAACCTTAAATAATTTCTTTCCCCAGCCTTAGTATCCTTAGAGCAAGATAATGCAGACAATGATGTCCCTGTGGATATATTCGCAATTGGTTTCGAGGAGATTGTCGATCTGAACGCCAGCAATATCATGGCCGCCAGTTCGGACAACGCGAAAGCTTGGGCCGACGAACTGCAAAAAGTTCTATCCAAGAATACGGAGTACGTTCTCGTGACATATCAGCAGCTAGTCGGCGTCTGTCTATATCTCTTTATACGACCAGTGCATGCACCATATCTGCGAGACGTGGCGGTGGATTGCGTGAAAACGGGATTGGGAGGCGCAACCGGTAATAAGGGCGCCGCGGCGATCAGATGCGTACTTTACTCCACTTCCTTTTGCTTTGTATGCGCGCACTTCGCTGCTGGCCAGTCGCAGGTGAACGAACGTAACGCCGATTATGCCGAGATCACAAGAAAGATAGCGTTTCCCATGGGCAGAACCTTGAATACACACGATTATGTGTTTTGGTGCGGTGATTTCAATTACAGAGTCGACATGGACAAAGACGAGATGAAGGAACTGATTAAGCAGAAGGAACTGGATCAGATATTGCAATACGACCAATTAAGGGTACTGTATCATATTAGATTAATTTAAAAAGTTTACTCTCTTATTTACTAATATCAGATTTATGTAGGAACAAAGAAACAAGTTTTTTAATCAATTTTATATTTAAAGATGTGTAATTTCTAATAATATATATTTTACGAAATTTCCAATTTTAAGGTTCAACAAGAGCAGGGTAACGTTTTCAAGAATTTCTTGGAAGGATCTATCAATTTCGATCCTACATATAAATACGATCTATTCTCGGATGATTATGATACCAGTGAGAAATGTCGTCAACCCGCATGGACGGATAGAGTTCTCTGGAAACGTAGGAAGCAAGTACCTGATATTGGTTAGTTTTTCTTTGTATTACATTCTATTTATATTTAATGTATCAAATATATAATTGTATTTATCAATCACGCTATATTTTAGATTCGCCTACAGATTGGAATCCGGGAAAGCTTGTTTATTACGGCAGAGCGGAATTGAAACAGAGCGATCATCGCCCGGTAATCGCAACGATCGACATAGATGTACATTGTGTCGATCCCGAGAAACGTGAACGCGTGTTCAAGGAGGTGATACAGGATCTGGGTCCGCCCGATAGCACAATAATAGTCAAGGCGGTGGAAGATATCGAAGACATGGATAGCGTGTTCGACAACAATCTCATGTTCGCTTTGATACAGGATCTATCTCATATCGGCGAGGCGATCCTGGTTCGTTACGTCGGTGAGACTATTTGGGTGACGTTCAGGGACGGTCAGTGCGCCCTGTCCGCGGCGAAGAAGGGTATGACGCAGGTATGCGGCCAGACACTGAAGCTGTCGCTGAAATCACCCGACTGGGTAAAACTGATTGAGAAAGAAATCGAGATCTGCAGCAACACCACAGTGGCGCAGTTTACGGCAAATTCGCCGTTGAGAAGTCCCATGCAACGATTGGAACAATTGGAAATGGCCGAACGGCCGTCTCCCAGCAGAGGTAGTCCTAATGGCGTGATCCCACCCCCGAGGCCGGCGCCACCAGGACGACCATCTCAACCACCGAAGAGTCCTGCTCATGAGCGAAAGCAGGGACCGCGTGCGGGTGTCTTTAGCGTGGTTCCCAATCAGTTCCCACTTTCCATGACGCAACCGGCCGCAGATAATACACCAGAGGATCAACATGACGAGAGATTGTCGCCTGACTCGGTCATCTACGAAGAAATATTGGACGGATCGCCCAGCTATCCTGTACCAAACCGGCCACCGCCGCCGTTACCGCGTATGGACGGGCCTCAGGAACCGTCGAGCAGACCTTCGCCTAGCTCGATACCTCCCCCCTTGCCACACAGGCAAGCCCCGCCTCCTCCACAGCATCCACCGCCAAGTTTACCTCCGCCGAATGTTCCACCACCCGTTCCAGCGAGAACCACCGGCGGGCCGCCCATTCCGGCCAGAAATCCTCAGTAAGAAATGGACGTAAGATAAATATTCTCAGCACCAAGTATCCGATACATTTATTTAGTATTAATCTAATGCACGTGATTATTTATGAAATTAATGAGTCAACATAATTGACGATGAGTCCTCGCTTCCAAACTGAGTTTCAGATTCGCGATAGATAGGATAGTTAGAAATTTGTTCTGTGATTATTCTAAGAATGGAATCATCAAATCGGAAGTAATTATTTTCGATCTCCGATATTGCGAGCGTAATTAATTGTAAATTTGTATTCATAGGCGCCGTTTTTGAGCTTGCCAAATCAATATTCCATATTTTTCTTGTTGGTGGTAATATACATATTAATCCTGTTGAGCCCTATTTCACATTGGTGATGCAGGAAGCTGTTGTTTTTTCACTCCAAATGTTTAAATAGAGCAGATAACTATTGTTTCAAAGATCCAATTGATATATGGTTGTTGATGTGACACAGAGATTTAATATGTATGTTCGTAATCCGCGTTTTGAAAGCGTTGTCAAGTTGGATATATCAAGAAATTAGTGATCCATAAAGTTTAAATGGCAATATACTTGCGGTAATAATGTTATAGTTGTCGCTGCTTGTATCATATATTGATATAATTTAAAATGTAATTCTTGATGTTAGTACTGCTTCTACTATATAAAGTTTTAGGAGTTTCTTCGCAGTATCTTAATAGTCTAAGAGAAGAAACTCCAAGGAGCTTTTAATTTTACATATAATTATATGTAGCACGACAGAAGGAACAGAACAGACTCAAACGCAGCAGTATTTTCATAAGTGTAAAATATATATACAGAATATCCGGTAATAACCGTATTACCTCCCGTGTGCAGGTAGAACGGTAAATAACGTGGTCCCGTAGGTGTAGGCGTGTGACAAAGTTTTGGGAGAAGCGCTCTACAAATGACAACGATTATGTATCAGCGGTAAATAAAGATGGATTCTCGCATTCTAGCGACTACATATGAGTTGTCTCTTCTCACTGCGCGCTTATACTCGTGTGAATTGGCCGATCTTTTTTAATTAATTTCTCAATTATTGCAGAAATCGTAAAATGGTAAAGGCTCCTCAGTTTAACTCATTTTATATGCACACAAGAGATGATACGGTTATTACCGGACACCCTATATATATTTCTTATAATCATTCACCTGCATGAATTGCGCTTTTTTTTGTACAGGGAAGCTAGAATGATTATCTTAAAGGCGGCTAATTTACATATAATCTAAGATCCTCTTATGCATAATTTTATTTATTTCTCTCCTGATTTTAAAGTTCCTACATTTTGCATTCCATGAACATTTCTAAAGCGTCCGTCCCGATGGGTCCAACATACCCACCTAACTACATTTCTTTCCTTAAATCCTCTCGATTATTTTTCAGGAGACACAATATCATGTTTCTTACTATGCACGATATATAAATGTCCTATCATTTTGATTGTCGTGTTACACATAATGAACAACGAATGCGAATGCGAATTAAACAGAAGAGCAAAAGTTGATACTCATAATATCATAAGTCACAAGAAAATACGTACGACGTGACAGTCAAAATGTTAATTATTATAAATTGTATATATTAATTATTTATACTATTTTCTCTCTTAATTTCCATTATTTTCAGCTTACTTACCTAAAGGTGGCTCTAATAGCGGGAAAATGGACGTATACATATATGTAAAAAAAAAACTAGTATAACAAAAATAATATAGTGATATATGTAGAGAAAATTGTTTCTTACATACACTCATCTACAATATAAATTTAATCCTACAGCACCTCAACAATACGCATTCCTTTCAGTTGATGCGTTTTATTAGTTAGATTTCAATCCTCATCTAGTACACAAGATGTAAAACATTGAACATGTATATATGTATTGAATGATTTACGAATAATAAAGAGATCAGACGGGAAGAAAGAAAACCTTTAATCTTAAAAAAATTCATTTATTGATCTAAACTGTATAAAGAGATTTGATTTGAACTTGCACTAATACTAATAATATTGTCATTTCATCGGTTCAACAAATCGAGGAATAAGAATGATCTCGGTTTTATTACTTATTAATACATGTATAAAAAACGAAGCTTGTACAAAAAAAATTGTTTCTCAAATCGATAAATATATACTGTAGAAAAAGAAACACAGAGAACCGTGTCCGTCGTTAAGATATTGAATTTCTATTTGTCATAATACAAATGGATATGAGCAGAAATATGGAAACGCATTCCCATTTAGCATATAGTCGTTTTTAGTGTATGTAATAAATTATATACAAGAAGTATTACTAAATTAATAGAGCTATCTAAAGTTCTCGGTTAGTATAGTTAAATACATTTAGCAAAAATAAAGTAACACTTTATCTGCTCTTCTTAATCGGGAGTAAAAGTGCGGTATGTATATTTATATATTTAACATTATTGCCTCAATTTTTCTTCTGCGCATTGTCTCAAATAATTATATTTATAGGAAAATCGTGCATTAATAAAATTAATTAATATAATTTATATAATATAATTAATTTCATCTTCAATATATATACATATCTTCAAAGCAAACTTTATTGCTTTCGCGTTTCTCAACAAATTAAAATTAAGATTTGTTATGCTGAAAAGATACATGTTTACACAATGACTTGTCGCAAAAATAAAAAATTTTTTGAAGATATGATTAAATAATCACATCAATGCATTTTTTAATTTCCTAAAAATATAATTACTGCAATGTTTTAAACAGTGCATTAAAAAAATGTTTTTGGCGATAACATGAAATGCTTTATCTTGACATTTGATTCTCGAGTATTGTGAATAATTTCTTTGCAATTTGAGAATACTTTGTTATATCTAATCGCCGAATGTAGAACCAATAAATTAAGGAATAGCATATGCGTATTATAGAAATCTCGACAAAATTACGAATTTTGTACAAAGGACAATTCATTAAAAACTATAGAATCGAGTAAAAAAATTACGTCATACTGCAATAGAATATTTTAAGAGCCTAATGTCTGAATAAAATAATCGAATAATGATCGAATATGTATATTCGTATTTAAACGTTATTAACGATACGCGGTACACTTTTCATAATTTTCGATCAGTCTCTTTGTCATTCCCCTGTGTTTTTGTAAAGATCTACGAATCGTCAACATGTGTTGAGATATACGCTTTCTGTTTTTTCCAACAGTTTGCTCTGATCGAGTATTTGAATACTTAGCTTAATAAACCGCAATTACTCAGGTTGTTCTTGATTATCACGTCTGTTACAGCATCAAACACGAATTGTATGTTGGACGTATCTGTAGCGCACGTAAAGTGCGTGTAGATCTGCTTCTGATCCTTTCTCTTGTTCAGATTCTCGAATTTCATCTGAATGTAGGAAGCGCACTCCTCGTATGTGTTAGCACCCTTGTATTCCGGGAAGCAGATGGTTAGCGGACTTTTGGTAATTTTATCCTCGAACAGATCTTTCTTGTTCAGAAACAGTATGATCGACGTTTCGACGAACCATTTGCTATTGCAAATCGAATCGAACAGCTTCATCGATTCTATCATACGATTCATTTCCTCATCCTCCGCCAGCACTAGGTCATAACCACTCAGAGCGACGCAGAAGATAATCGCGGTGACCCCCTCGAAACAGTGTATCCACTTTTTTCTCTCGGATCGTTGGCCACCGACATCAAACATTCTGTGAAAAAGAAGAAATACATTATAAAGTAACTGTATTACATTATAATTATTCAATTTTTTAAATTCTAATCAAAAATATTATATAATTTAAATAAATATTTTTTGTCGCGTAAAATAGTATATCTATCAAGAAGCGGTAGCTCTCTATATGTGTATATTAAAACGTAACGTTTTTTGTAAAAACTTTTTGACGCGCACGTGTTTAGAAATGATTCAATGAATGACTCAATATCATCAATTAACATAATACTAGATTAAGACAAATTATATAAATATCTTTGAGTAATAAATGAAGTACACGTCGAACATACTTGAAGTGTAGACCCTTGAAGGAAAAATGCGTCTCCACGATTCCCGTAGTTTTGACACGCGTCCGCAGAACATCCTGCTGTGTCGGGATGTAATTGTGTTGCGATATGCGGTCAAGTGCGTTAAGATAGTACGCTGCCGAATCGTTGAGCAGGTATTCTCTGTTACGCGTGAAACAAAGCTGCACTCCCGCGTCCTGCCATAATCGTTTCATTAATAACGCTAGATCCCCTGTTAGTTCACCTTCCTCTGCCGCCGATGCGAGGGTGAAAAATTGTCGCGCCATATCCTACAACGCAAACACAAGGCCGATATTACCTAATGTCAGTGGGGCACGAATAAAGTGCCATTGATAATGAGCAATGTTGTCGAGTGTTGATGCAAAAAGATTTATCGTCTCCCTCTCAAATTTTGTTTCAAATAAAACTATTGATAAGTTTTATGTATACGATAAATCTTTTGCATCAATTTAATAGAAAGATATAAAAACTTTACCGCTTTATTGGGATCAGCAAAATCAATCCTAAGCTCCCCCATAGCTCTTATTATTGTCATTAGACTCTGTATTGTATTGCTGTATACTACTTTTGTGTACTGCTCACATTCCTCTCTACTGTAGCCCGTCTCGTGAATGATTTTCATTTGTTTCACTATCGTGGACTTGCCAGACTCGCCAGCACCTTGAATTTTAACACATTAAATATATATGTTACATATTAAATAAATTATCATTGCAAGTATATATATGTAGTGATAATAATTGTTGGATTATGTAAATGAGATTATTGCTCGAGTAAGAGTGTCATATGATCGAGAAAGTTGCAAGCCTTCCTTGACATAATAATTAAAATTGTTACCACATCATACAATGTTAATATTTATTTGACGTATGACTGACAGCTATTTTTTAATCAATGTGAATCTATACAAATACACTCGCACTTGAGATATTTTGCTAAGTCGTACAAACGAATTCAATTAACCGATTAATCATCGGCCTTTCCATTGTGTAAAGTTTCGTTCGATTGATTCGCGATTTAGCCAGTCATCCTGTCGGAGACCACTCGTTCTCGTTCGAGGAAGAACAATATTTTTTCCTTAAGTGAGACGAAGATATATATATTATGTCTCTTGGAGAGACGTAATCTCGTGATTCACACGCGGCCGATGATTCAAGTTTCCCGTAACGTTGCACGCGTTCTATTCATTCGCGTCTTTGCACATTCTCGATCAAAACTTGTCAAAAATTTTGAAATTCTTCGATTGACAATATTAAGCAATATTAAATCACTCATTATTGTCAAGATATATAATATCGAATGATCAATATTAAATATCTAATATTTAGTGATTAAATAAAATTCAAAAATCTTTAATTCAAATTCAGAAATATATCATATATTGAAAAAATATTTACATATTTCATATAGTTTAAGTAATTCCAATTTTTTCAAAACCATGGCACCAAATAAATTTAATCATGGATTTAAAAAATATATTCCAATTTTGCAATATTTTAAATACAAAATATATAGATATATACATAATTTTATGACTCTCTATAGTTAATAGGATGACTTAATAGCTTTGGGACGCTGCGTAACTTTTTTTTAAGAAAACCCATTCTCTCTCTCTCTCGCGCGCGAAGAAACAGTTAAATCGCAGTTGTGATGAACAAAATAACGAAAGCAATTTTGCCTTCACAAGCGTGTCTATGTTTTATAATGTAGAATGTAGAAGACGTGAAATATGACACACATATACACGTACATAGGAAATTAGATAACTATTTTGTACTAAATTCTTTTGATTAAAATATTTTTAGTCAATATATGCGTTTATTTTTTTCAGTTGGCGCTATTTTTGATACTACATTATTTTTGTAGGATATATTTTACACAATTAAAATAGTTTGTAGAATATATATATATATATTTTACAGAATTAAAATAATGTATAAAACAGATTTTTACGTTTTAAAATAATATTATTTTGTGCAAATTAAAATAACTAATTTTTAGATTTTCACAAATATAATGTAGAAGACGTGAAACATGACACACATATACACATACATTTCGAGAAGCGCTCGCGAAAAAGGATACCGCAGAATTCATGCAATCGCGAAAGCGTATTATCCGAAAGACACCGTGTCACCGCGAAACGTTAGGAAAGCGCTCTTCGCTTGAATTAGGGCCACCTTTCTTATAAACCACACGCGTTTACAGCTCCTTTTTCCTGTACAAACATAAGTTCATGACTCACGAAAAGTTAGAGTTCTTTCTTGACACAGAATTCTTGTACGCAGAATCCCAGAGTGAAATATATTCAGCGATTCTTGGAAGGAGAAAAAGAGAAAAGTACAAAATATATATAAAAGATATTACTAAATTGAGTAGGATCTACAGTCGCGGAAGAAACACAGAATCTCTCGAAGCGATCTCGCGTGCCATCAACGTACACACCGTTGATTGCAACAGATTCGTATCGAGAAGGGAAAACGAATTAAAAACATTATATTTCATGAAAAAATACTAAGCCAAGAATTTATTTAATATATAATAATGTCAAGGAATATTTATGTATATTTATATAAAGCGAATATTAAATAATAGGGTCTAAAATAATTAATCTGTTACACTATGTTACTCTCTACTTTAAACGAAAGAAGGATATATTTGCGATTGTCTTTTGGAAGAGTAGGAGAATGGAAAAGCTACTCGAGAATGTAAGCGGAGAGCGTAGCTAACGATAAGAGGAACGGACTAATTCTATGGATCATGGTTTACGCGGCGCCTTCGGGAGCGTTCGGCGAGCGTACGTCCAATACACGATACAAGGCGAGGTGCGAGTAGAAAGAGAGAAAATGAAAGAAAGAGAGAGAGAGAGAGATCGCCATCGAGTAGGGGATGCAAATTTGCCATCGTCTTCCGAGAAGCGGAACCGAAAAAGCGGGATCACGGCGTTACATCCGTCCTCGTCCCGTCCTGCACGAGTGAGACGTATCGGGTACGAGGTATCGGAAGTCACCGGGTTCGAAGGGAAAGGGCATTTACCGAGCAGCAGGAGCTTGACCTCGCTGGCGGTTCGCTCGCCATCAGCGCGGAGGTCCTTGTCGATCTTTTTGGATCGCTCGGCGGCCTCCTTCTCGCCGGTGGTGCTCACGGCGCAGCCCATCCCGCGCCCTCGCCGGTGACGAATCCTTTCAGCACGTCGTGATGACGATAACGATGATGACGATGGTGTTGATGGTGAGATCGTCGCGAGCCGTCCAACCGATCCGTCACTCACACCGATCCACCAGCACCATGCACCAAGTATTCCACACCACCGCACAGTTGAAGGAACCACCGCCGCTGCCGCCGCCGCCTCCTACTCCTCTTGACACTTGTTGCACGGACGACGTCGTGTGGGAACCGCCCGCACGCGGTCGCGCTCGCATACACGTACGCGAGAACGCCCGACGATCCACGCTCATACAATACACTTACACATGACAGGCGCGCGTGCGTGCTCTCGATCGCGCACGCAGCTGCGCGGATGCGTTCTCGCGGCGTCGAATTCCCGGCGCGTCGACGTTCACGAGGAGGAACGGCGTTTCCTTAAACGGGATGACGAGAACGCTAGGATGATGACGCGAACGAGAGAACCCGGCGTTCAGGGTAAACCTGGATAAACTGATCGCTCTCGCGTCTCCGCTTCGGTGGCTGATAGCGGCGTGCGAGCGATGAATCGTATCGCACGACGCTAGCGCGTAGTAATTAAAGTCGCAACTAGGTCGCGCAAGTCGCCGTTGTTGAATCGGATCGCGCCGGCGATTGGTCAACGCGTCACGTGTACATCAGCCGCGCGGCCAATCGAAACGCTCGACGCCAGCTACCGCGCATGCGCACGCTTCCGCGTGTCGCTCGCGTCTGTCATATGCAGAATGTAGATTGTTATTCGAAACGCCCGATCTACGTCTCGTTTCGATCGATGGCGATGTTCGAATACGAATGTATTGATTAGAATGCAGGGGAAGTCTGAAGGAGAATCTGTTGCGTTTTATATGCGGATTAGTCCTTTCTCTCTCCTTCTCCCAGATGTTTTTAGAGTATTGGTATTTATTTTTATGAAAACTATTATTTCAAGAATTAATATATCATATAGTTTTACATTGAAATTGTTCAGAGCACAAATCAGAAGATTTCTCTTCAAAGAATTATATATGGTATGAAAGAGGATCACGGTAAGGGGAAGATCCAATAGTAATTTGAATATATCTTCTATACTTGTGAAGAAAATCGAAATTTAATATACTAATAAATTTTGTAAAAAATAAATTGTTTTCTATTTGTATTTAATAAGTTTACATACACACATTTATACATGATTGCATTTGTGTATTCACAATTCTTTTCACATACAATACAATAATTCAGATGACTATTATAGTAACAGTGGTATAATTTTTTATGGCTTCGGAAAACGTGCCAAGTACAATAAATTTTCCTAATTCACATACAATTTTTAATTCACACACATAAAAAAGATCAGAAAAGAAGGGAAAACGAAGAGATCGACACTAGCAATAATCAGAAACTACTAGTATAGTGATCAACTACTGGTATAGTGCTCAAATTATAAAAAATAATATAAATTATAAAAAGTATAAAAACCAAAATATTGAAAAGACTCGCAATTGATTATTAAAGAAAAAATAGCGCAATAAAAACGTATTTTTTAAATTTCTTGATTCGAAGTTTTTAATTGATTGAATATTTTTATATGAGCTTAAGACTTTTATAAGGCTTATTTTATCCTTTGAAATGTTTAGCCAAACAGAATATAAAGTGATTTGAATGTCAATAATCCGATGATATATTTTGTGATTGATCGCGAAACTCAAAATCTATCGAAACACCACTGTAATTTATCAAGCAATAAACTTGCAGTAATTATATATGTCCGTTTCAATCTATGCTTTTTTAATAATGGGACATGAAATATATAAGATGTTCCAGAGATCAGGTCAATGAAACTTTAGGATCTTATAGGAAATTGAATTTGGAACAAAAAAGTTTCTATAAACTTAGGTCTAGAACCGCTTCGTTAAAAAGTTGCTAATAAACTCTCTGTAAGTAATTAATTATGATTAAAATTTAATAAGAACATTTTTATGTTTGCATTCGCAATGTTTGCACTACGAATGTAGTGTTTACACAAAGACCATTGAAAGTTGGTTTTTTCAAGCTTTCTGCTTTTTCGTTGTTTTGAACTTATTTTCTTTTGAACGCCTTATTAGAATTAAAGAAATTGGTGTAATTTAGTTCGTTATTTAATTACTCATCAGATTTATTTTGTTATTTTTTTCAAATGAATGAAGGGTTTTAAAATTATTTTTAAAAATCATAAAAAAACCGTGTT